CGGCAGACTTGTGCCCCCAATTCCTGTTTTCTTAAACGTCGCCTTCAGCATATTATTATGTCATGTATTTGTAGCACTACGGGGCAAGTAAACTGGTTACAAGGAATGGTTGGCCGAATGACCAACTGGTGCTCAGTCACTAGTCCACCGCACCCCCGCTTTCACACTCCATAGATCGGCCCGAAAACATTTCTTAACTTTTTCATTGCAACTTTCTTTTAAGAAGAATACAGATTGAAGGGTCCACTCCACTTCTGTACGACGTGGTGGATGAATAAGCAACCGTGGGAAATGTCATCGGCAGTCGTTTTCTCCGTACATTTGCCTATTTCTCTCTACCTATTGTGTGTGATTTGGCCGGTACTGTTTTTTTTTTCAAATTCAAGTTCGGTCTATTCATCTCGCGCTCTCTCTCAGTCACTAACACTCAAAACAATGAAAATGACAGTTGTTTGAATTGAATTTTTTATTAGCAATGCAATGTAGTTGTGACCGTATAAGTCGTGACTCATCGTTGTACGTGGCAAAAGTTTTTTCTGAAATATATTTGATGAGTGAAGGTTATCGGCATGTGGCATCGCGAAACCGATCTGCTTCAATACTCTGCTTTGTGTTTCGGTAAGCGATGACGTTTTTGTACCGATTCCGCCCGGGACTAATTTCGTCCGGAACGGAACGATTCACGACGTGGAAGAAAAACCACGATATTGGCTGGATGGGTATATCCAAGCGAGGCAGACTGTGTACATGCTAGTGATTCTTGTAACATGTAACTTTTTGCACAAATGCGACACAAAACATGTTCTTAAGCTAGACTATTTTTCAGTGGACTGGCTCTGAAAGAATGGTCTATCCAAAACGTACTTGGTTATTGTGACGAAAATACACTTCCTGGGTACAAGTATATGAACGAACTGACAAAAGATTATCGGATATGCCTGACGAGCGGCGAGAACCACGAAACCAGTCGTGTGCTTCCAGGGCAATTTTGTCCAGTCATTCATATATTACTTATTATGAAATATTCTATAACGGATACTCAAGCCACGTTTGTTGCGGTTCGCAGCATCTAACCCACCTACAAACACATCGTATCGTGGTGTTTTATGGTTGACCGAATGAACTGTGGTTTAAACTCGATGGTTTACTCTGTCGAAATCACTACTGCTAACAGTTAAATGTGTCCTTGGCTTTGCTTAGCAGATCAATTCCAGACGAATGATGTCCATGAGATTTCCAATCATTGTAACATCCCGCCTTTTTGTCGGCTGTTTTCGCCACATGTGCTCGTTCTTCAGCTTAAATTAGTCATTGTGGTAATAAATTCTTTCCCTCTCTCTCATGGACTGATTGAGTGCGTAAGTACTTGGTCGGTCGATCACCCTGTTACATTCCAATCTGCAAAAGCGTGCAACAAACCACGATAAAAACGAGAGTTCATACGCGTATACACACATACATGCGCGCACCCTTGTGCATGTCTACGTTCGATCCGTGTTGAGGTCTTGGCCATTACACCCGATGAATAATGTCGTCCCGAGACCGTGACCGCACTGATACTGATTCGGGTGTGGATGGTTTTCTTGTAGGTGCCGTTCCGGGCAGCCAGTTCGTCCGTCTTGCACCCAAAGCCAACTGTTTCGGTAGTTAAATCAAACAGGCGTGTACATTTATACAACTGCACATTATACATGAATCATTTGTGCTGCGTGATACTTAGATTTGGCACACGTGAGCCTGCAGGTGTCGACTACACGCCATGCCATGACTAGTTGTGGCTTGCGGCTCTCCGATCACACCTTGCCATCGATTGAAATCTTTGGTCTAACCACGCATCCGTCCATTTGATGTCGTCTAGCTTATGCGTCTCATGAACTAATAGGGCTGTTAAAAAACGGGAATGGGGAAGAGGATAGTAAAGGAAACAATGATGTGTCACGGAAGTAAACAACACATCACCCCGATAATGTCGGTATCGGCAAAAGGCGGGTCATTTGGACAAAAGTAAACAAACTGGAACCACACTTGTTCCATCGCATGCAGCACTTCATCACACATGCGTAAACACACACACAAGTGTTTTGAGTAAGGTCATAGCCTCGACTTGTCTACCGCTCTCTCGATCTCACTCCGACGCGTTATCTCGTGTCAGTTCTGCTCCTGTTCCTGTCATCATTATCCGTTGTTCTTGTGTTTGTGTGTGTGTAGGTGTTAGCTATCTTTTGTTGCTGTGCCGATTGTTAGATTCTGAAGAGAACAAGCATAGAACAATCCCTTGTAAGACTAATCTACCCCTTGTTTTTTTGTCACACACAATGGGAATGATAGCATTTTCATTTATCGCTCGCTCTGTCCCTGTCTGATTTGTACTCCCACTCGATACGACCGCTTCAATGATGACCGGGTGATCACTCACGCTACAACTTGGTCAGTACACACACACACCTACATGCATACATACATCTGAACACAGTGTCATATTTATCCCAGTCACTGCATTGATCATCACAGCGCTTTCAAACTCTCACTGCATCGGCTTTTTGACTTTTCGACTCTGGTGAATCGACGGTACTGTGGCAGTCTAGTCTTCATTCCCTTCCGCTTCACACATTTTCCTGTCCGGAACGAAAAAAATATATTCCATTCACTCCATTGTTCATATCTTATGTGCTCTCCTCACACCTGCGTCTATTCCCACCCCTTCGCCCCGCTTCCGTGGTTTCTTTTTCTCTATGTTCACGAAAACGCATCATCCAAACCGTACAGGAGGGCAAACTTCAAAATTTGGAACCGGGTAAAGGCTACCAGATTGTGGTGTATGGCGTGCACACTCCACCTGGAGTGGACCCCAAAATGAGCATTTTCAAGGGTGGAATCAACGGCCGTCGCATAACACAATTCAGTCATGAAGTGTTTGTCAAGCCCAGAGTGAGTACTTATTTACCATTCTGCACCAGTCATCATTGTTTCGAAATCTGTATTCAAATCCTATGGTATTTTCGCTTAACAAATAAATCTTTTTTTTCCGCTTTCTGCACTGTGTACCTAGTAGACCGCTGTTCTGATGAATGTCAAACTTTTATTTCCTACCTCAGCCACTTGTGCGACCAGTGAACGAAAACAGTTTTCATTGAGTGCTATTTGATTCCAGTGCTAATGCTAGTTGTAAAGAACTTAGAAGACTTCCTTCAAAGAGGAATTTAAACGATACATTTTAAGATACTATCAGCCGTCTGAAAGCCGGTATGACTCCATGAGTAAATGCTGTTATGCCATCACAGTTAGGGGATAGGGACGTTTCAGGCGAACAGCCTATATATTTCTTGCGCCAAAATCGATCAAAACGTTCCGCCTTTCCGATGCAATAACACCCGGAGTGTTCAACTCGATTTCCTACACCCCAAACGGACGGCGATTTCGTCAGCGTAAACCCGGTAATGTTCACGTATGATTCAGGCCCCCGAGTCGCATCTCACTCGCCAAAATACTCATTTTTTCTGTTCTTACATCACTTGATTGACTAACCTATTCTGCATTCACACAAACTGTCCCTTGCTCCTAGTGACACGCTCAAATACATTACCTGATTCAAAACACAGTCTAACATTATCCAATAGGATGTTGTGCATTTTGCTTCCATTTCGGCTTTGAACAGCACCGTCAGCGAACGGTTTCATTCAATTTTTTCCCGTTTACAAACCACTCCCGTTCTGCTTGCCACTTCCATGTAGTCTGGAGTAATCTGGATAAATTGAGCTCCTATTTGGATTTAAACACTACTCCTTACGTTACCGTCAATTCTACCACGATCGATTCGAAAATGACTGAAAATGTTGTTCAACACACTGTTGACTGCATCCACATTTCTTTTTTCAATGAAAAAAGCTGTGCGCTGTTGTGAGAGCATAGTGCCTATTTGGATGAAATGCGACATTCGCTTGTGCAATAGTTGGTTCTATTAGACTAGCACGGGTTTCGGTGAGCAAACCGCAAATGTTTTCGTGCACGTTCTGTAAACTGATTGGCTTTGCCTCCCCCCCCCCTTGTCCGAAAAACGAGAAATTCAAAGCAATAGGATCTTATTTTGATCTTATTCTGTTTAGAAAACGCATTTCTTGAAGGTTATACTGCTTCTGCTTTCACTAAGAGATCATAACTGATGGACTACGCGATCAAAATAAAATAGTGATTTATATTTACTCTTCTGCGTCGTCGAATTTCTGTATTGCTTTGTAATAATCTATTGTTTTTTCATTTACTGTAGAAAAAATAAAACGGTTGTAATCTTGATCAAATAATGATAAAGTGGAGGAGGGAAGTAAAACACGAAAAAATTGTATCCATTGCTGATAGCACTGCTCTGAAGTTCCTATCGCGATTCACTCTACCGGTCACATGTCAAATGACCTGATTTACTGTAGTTATAAACACTGTTCTGCCTCCTGCTAACCATCTATCGATGATACCGCTCAGTTCGAGGAGCTTAGATTAAATGTGCCCTATTTATCAGACTAGATTATGTAAATTTAATTTGAATTTTATGCGACCTACTACCGCGCGAGAATGGGTCGGCCTCACTGACGTCTCTGATGATCGCTGCCCATGCGCAGCATTGTTTAACTGACGTAGATCAACGGTTGATGTGTGAATTGTATTTGTATTTTGATCACCTCCCGGCTTGTCTTCAACCTCTTAATGGTCACAAGTTCTCTGTTTCTACTGCTATTTCCTTACCAGTTGTTCATTTTTTAACTCTCTGGAAACTCATCCAACGAGGACGGCATATTCCGTTACCGTTTCGTCACCATAACCTTGTTTTCAATATCGGTTGTTTTTTGGATGGACAGCTCTTTCATGGAATTTTTTTCCATGTATATATACATATATCAGTTTTGTAAACAACCGTGTGGATTGTTGTTTTTGTAGCTCGGGTAGTATAACTTGATGTTCAGTTGTTCGCCGAGCTCGGTTGCCGGTGCCCATGGCCTCGTAACCACTGACTAAACCATCGGATTTATCTCCGCCCACAACCTTTTCATTTCGATCAGTTCTGTTACTCCATTTGGTACGCGATTTGGTCCCTTCCAAAGCGCGAAGTGATGCCCCAAGGCTGATTGTTGTCCAAGCCGGCTCTGATGTCTGATGGTCGAGAATTATTTTTTTTAGATTGATTCTTGTGCCTAGATAGTTGTGTGACGAATGACGGTGACACAGTAAAGAAGGTAACCACCTTCATTTCCAAGGCTCGAGCAGCCTACGCAGAACTGAGGCACCTTTGGTGCAGACGTGATGTTTCCTTGAAACTGAAAGGTTGCGTATGCTGCTCCAGTGTGCTCCGGGTTGTGCTACTTTACGGTCGCGAGGCCCTGAATTTGCGCGTGGAAGATATTCGTCACATTGAAGTCTTTGACTGTCGATGTTTTGGTACTTTGGCGAGGATTGAATGGAGCAAGCGTGTGAGCAACACAGAAGTAAGCCGCGTATTGGGTAATGATTTGGTGGAGAATTCGTTCTCATGTCGAATTCAGGTTGGTGAGCTTTGCCGGTTGGGGCACGCATTACGCATGCCCAGCTGTCGTCTAGCCTGCCACGCCTTGTTTTTATTTATGGCTCCAGGTTTGCGGAACTCACGAAAATGTCAGCAGATGACGTGGAGACGAGGCATGAAGGAATGCCCGGAGCCATTAGGTAGAGTAGGTGTCTCGCGCCTTCCTGGTTTAGGTCCGAAAGACTTCGCAACTGGTCAGAAACATTGAACGATATGGCAGCGAGCCGCCAACAGTGGTGTTTTTGTTGTTATTTCTTATTGGGTCAGAATGCTTGAAACGGTGTGCATACATAGGTTTGGTTTGGCAGCGATTGGAGATATCCGTTTCGCTGTACAATGATTATGGTTAGTGTAAATGTACCCGCTCACCGATAGGAGAGTAAGTAAAAAAGTGCTCAGACCATTCTTACATGGAAGAAATTAGCCAGGAGAAGAACGCTTATTTTGCAGACATCCTTTGTCTTCACAATTATCGTCTGTCAATCGTACTGTATTACCCAGTCGTGTGCACCAGATCTTTTGAATTGCTCAGTATGCGCTTCACAATCAGTTTGTTGTAACATTCTCAGTGCTGTCACGTTTTGAATTCAAGCATCATTTCGCGATCGAGTACAAACACCCCTTCTGTTTCAAGTTTGACTTCGTTCTATTAGCTCTACATTTATATTCTTTATCTGCGCACCCAGTCGCGGATGTAGTCATTATTCGTGATTCACTGGATCAGTGTTCCAACCCGTGCTTTATTTACAACGCTTACGTGAGGCCGACCTTTCTGCAGAATTGCAAATGCCAATGTCCGCACGCGCGCCTGGCTGTCACACTTTGCAGCACCCTCCAGTATGTTGAATGATCTACTAGGCATTCAGATTTCGTTGTTCTTCAGCATCGTGTCGCTACACACACCTTTGGGCACCTATGTGTGGCCGTGTTCACCGCTCACAATGTGCTTTCACTAGTCCTACTCCCACTGTTATTACTACTACCACTGAAATTAGTATTCGCATTCGTAGTTTTTGCCACTCTTTTCATGGTCCCTTGTTTTGTCTTTCGACCGCTCTCCCTCCACCTCTTTCGTCCCTAACCATCTACTTTGCTTGTTATCGTTGTTTCAACTGCTGCGGCTGTTGGAGCTGTCGATGTCAGTTCACTTCTACTACTGCTTAATACTTCCTGCCACAGTTCTTCCGACCCACAGCTTTTCGTATTCACACTCCAAACTACCAGGGAGTCTTTGTCACTCCGTGGATGAGGTGTCGGCTTGTCGTAGTTGCCCGTTTCACACTTCACAACAGCCCATCACGATTCCTCGTCATTCCCGGCTACCGTATACGTTATTCCATTGCTCATTTAGTATCACCATACTAGACATCCGATAACGGTTCGATGATATCCTTTCGTTTTAATAGAAGCAACAACACGGCCTTGTTCTGTCTGTCTGTCTGCTCTCCTCCAATTCCCCCCGGAGCTTTTGGCTTT